GGAATCTATTTATTCAGCAGTACTGCTGAATTCCCTTCTCAACTGCTGAATTTTTCAGCAGTACTGCTGAATAAATAGATTCCGTTTTTCAGATTCCGCCACCACGCAAAACAATAAAACTGATAGTGTTGTCTCAAGACAAAAATGATTCACAGTAATACTATTAATATTTTATTGTAGACTAGCAATCGTAAAACTAGTCCTTTAGGGATACGAAATCAATGAAAGGATTGTAAAAGTTATTGTTGTCATCCTTATATTGTTTTCCTTGATGTTTTGCAAGTCTCTTTTCCCTTTTTTTCTTCCTTCCCAACCAATATGCAGAATCCTTGTTTCGCCTAGTCTCCTGGTAGATGTGGGCCCGGAAAGATTTCAAGTCAAACGCTTTGTACTCATCACGTTGTTGGTGGAGCATTTTGGGCTTCATGTCCTTGTGCTTGCCATTTTTGACATCAACTCTAAGGGAAGCTTCTGCTGGTGGTGACCAATGCCATTCGCCGTCCGAGTCTTTGGCTACTGTGCAGTTACCCAGCATAATCTTCATTGGCTCCTGCTGGACATCTTTGAACATCTGCTTCACAGTCTTTGCATTGGCATAGAAATTGTCCGTGAAGAAGCTTTGTCACCTAGTCTTGGACTATCTATCGACTTGTTCGTTGCTCCAGCTGCTTCCTAGAACCGTTCCCAGTTTCAGGAACTCATCTTCAGAGAAGTGGATCGTCATGGTCGGTTAAAGAGCTGCTCTGGCAGGTTGTGTTGCTTGTTGGAGGCGTTGTCAAGAAGGTGTTGATGGTGGTTTATATCTGACGATTGATTGGCAATTAATATAACAGGAATGACAAAGGGAATTTTAAAATTCAGCGAACTGCTGAAAAATTCAGCAGTACTGCTGAATAATTCAGCAGTACTGCTGAATTCCCTAATCAACTGCTGAATTTTTCAGGGATACCCGGCAAAAGTCGTTTTGCTGCATATTTTCATGTGTTCGTGTTTGTGGCCAACGGAGTTTCACGCAGTTTAAATGGAGATTATTTTCCCGATTAAACTCTTTTTAAACGCCACCAATTGACATGCAGTTTTGGGCTATTATGCTTGGCCCGTAAGAAATTCTACAAAACGCTACGAAACTCTATGAAACCTACGAAATCCTACAAAATCCTACGAAATTCAACGAAATTCAACGAAACCCTACGAAACTCTACGAAATTCAACGCTCAACGAAAGCTACGAAATCTCTCCGTGAACTAATTTTGTAAATCTGTAGATTTGCAGTGTGTTTTTCGCGCAAGCAAAAGACTTAGAAGCACATTGCAACGGTTGTGGAAACACCTGCAACGAAACCAACGAAATCCAACGAAATCCAACGAAACCCAACAAAACCCAACCAAACCCAACAAATTCCAACAAATCTTACGAAACACAACGAAATCTAACGAGATCCAATGAAACCTACAATACACAGAAATATGTATATAGACAGTGTCACATCAAAATCAAAGGCCACTGCAGTGTAACAGCACACACAACTAACAATACAATATTAAATACCGCGTTAAGGTCGTGGTAACAATCCTTTTACTAAGGTAATGTATGCATCTTCTGTGGGATACGTCATTCTGATCAGAGACTCTTCCAAAGAAAAAGAAAGTAGAGTAGGTTGCGACATTGACTCCAGAGCCGCAGGACAACAGGTGCAGCACGACTTGGTCTTATTTGTCACACAACAGGTCCACGGCTGCAAAGTCAAAAGGTCAACACCCCCTTTCCGATTCGATGGATCTCACAACCTCTCGCCTGGCCAGCGAACTGTAACCTATCATGAAGCATCATTGCTTTGCAGCTCTCCTTCATAGGGGTAGAATGCCGTGTAACAGCACGCACGACTAACAATACAATATTAAATACCGCATTAAGGTCGTGGTAACAATCCTTTTACTAAGGTAATGTACGCATCTTCTGTGGGATATGTCAGCCACCTTATTTGATTGGGAAACGAATCAATATCCATTTATATCGCGTAAGACTTCCTGAACCACGAACACCACATCATGAAAATATGCAGCAAAACGATTTTTGCCGGGTATCCCAGCAGTACTGCTGAATAATTAGATTCCGTTTTGTTAGATTCCGTCGCTTTCAGTTGGCGCGCACGCATCTCAATAGTTTAACGGTCATAATTTGGGATTCCTAGGGTACAGGTTTAGTGCTATGGACGCCGGAAGGACTATATTCAGCAGGACCTCCCTGTGTTGCAGAAGGAGAAAAGAGAGCCATTGTCCTTCCGCCAGTGCGAGAAATTGCAAAAGGCCTCAAATGTCAGTAGATGGTCGTGAAAACTCAGGAAAAACCTGTAGATAGTCGTGAAAATCGACAATTCTCTGTAGATAATCGTGATTGTCAACCAATAAATAGTACTTAACAAAACCACGACCATCTACAGAGAATCTTCGATCTTCACAATTATCTACAGGTTTTTTCTGAATTTTTACGACCATCTACAGGTTTTTGAGGCCTATTTCATTTAACGGGCCACCCAATGTTACTTAACAACTGTCGCGTAGAACAAAAAGTTCTCTGTAAATGTCGTGGCTCACAGTAGTCTACTAGTCCAACTAGTCGAATCATATCAGTCGAATGAACATCGATTACTCTGATATGAGTACTTCTACAAACGCCCCCTTATTCAGCATGCCCACAGTAGTCTTGTCAAAAGCAATCTTGCCAAATGTGGAGTACATCTATTACCTATGCTACGAGCCGACAGTGATGTGGCAATGAGGTGGCAACAGTCTGACAAATACATCTTATCAAGACTGCAGTAGAAGTTGTGTGTCTCCAGTACACACCTTCTCTTCGGATCTCAGTATGGCTATCGCATTCTGCCCAGGGAAGTAGTTCTCCATTAAGCTCATAATATCTCTTTAGCAATCTTTCAATCGCTACTGTGCCTAAGTTAGTCCTCAGCCTTTTGTGGGACATGGCATTTTTGATCAAAAAGTCCGATTCAATTTCAAGCACAACATCACGTCCGACTATCACGTCTTCCCTATGCAATACGAACCCATCGAAGGAGAAAACCTCAGAGTCAAGGTGGATATCGACCATTCAACCTTTTCCGTCTACCTCAAGAAGTTGGACATCACCCAGATGTCCTTACACAAGTGTGTGGACTTTGCACAGACTCTCCTCGACGATGTGACCCTCGAAGTCGGCCGGAACGATGACGAGCTCCTCGGTAGAGCCCTCAACAAGTTTTGGTCAAAGGCTCTCCCTCCTCTCGAACGACAAGTTTGGGAAGCGCTCCCAAACTACATGGACATGGACGAGGAATCCGTTGAGAACTGGAAAAACAAAGTCCGCGACTGGATCCTGACCAAATGTACTGAAGAAGACGCGGCTGCAGTCTTAAATCAGCTCCGTACCTGGAGAAAGCCAAGATCGGCGACAATCATGGACAATCAGATGTACATGAAGAAGGTAAACTCTGCAATCCCTTACATGTCTGAAGCTCTTGACCCTTTTGACAAAGAAGAATTCAAGAGAGTTTTCTTCAATGCTCACCCCAAGCCTTGGAAGGACGCCTTCCTGGAGATCAACGGTACCCTTGACAACCATTCCGTTGCCAGCATCACTTCCTACATGCAACGCAAGGCTCGACAAGCACACGACAAGGAATTGAAGAATCAACTCCACCAGAAGATCGAATCCAAAAAGAAGAAACGCACGGCTGGTGTCCATCACAGGGATGATTCGAAACCTTTCAAGAAATCTCGTATCAACCCAGAGGAAAACAAGATGGACAAAGACAAGCACCACAAGCGCGTGGCGGAACTTGCAAAGACAGCCAAGCCGACCGAAATTTGCTCGCTCAAGCCCAATCATAAGAATCACACTATCTCCGAGTGCAAGGCAATCAACAACTACAAGGCCCGAATGAGCAACAAGAAGTCCAACAGCTTTGCTGTCATCAATCTCCCTGGAGATAAGCCGGATGATGATTCGACCACCTCTAAAGAGACCAACTCATCCAACAAGAATGGTGCGTTCTACATGAACAATGAATCTTACTATGTCCCAACTTTCTCTCACCACATTGATTTCTGTCGCTTCGACAGCCTGAACAACATCGTTGATTCAAACGTTCTAGACGATCTTAGGTTATCATATATGTCAAACGTAAAAGACGCCTACGAAAACGGTGCAGAAGTCCCCGAGACTATCAGTGAGAAAGTAGACATTAGTAAAGAATTAAACTTATTGCTTAGACCAGAATCTGTTTCTGTTATAAAGATGATGCAAAAAACTCGTGTCAACAAACTTGCACGTGTGTTGTTTGATCCTGGATCAGATGAATCTTACATCCATCGTAGAATTTTGCCCGCTGGAATCAATGGAAAAACCGTGAAGAAACAAATTGGAACGATAAGCGGCAAACAATCTTTGACCACGCAAGTCATAAACATTGAGGGAATCGTTTTCCCTGAATTTTCTCCCACGCAAAAAGTGGAATCCACGTTTGAAACAATTGTTTTTGATTCAGACGCGAGGTACGATATGATTATTGGAAATAATATTTTACTTCCCCTTGGAATCGATTGTTGCGGATCTACCAAAACAATCAAATGGATGGACAAACACGTACCTTATAAGCCGCCCGAATCTGGCCTCAGTCCTCAAACTACTGATCCAAACGAAGATACATCCATGTTGATGGCGCAATTGATGGCAACCCATTGCTATCACTCAGACCCTGATGAAAGTCTCAATGAACACATTGAGCAACAGATATCTCATTCCTTTAATATTGCAGAATCCAAATATGATTTGGTTCCCTTGGAACATGTTACCAAGCAACAACGGCATCTAAATGGTAAACAACAGAACGATCTTTACAATGTTATAAAAGACTTTGAACCCTTGTTCAACGGTAACCTCGTTCGTTCGGGCAAACTTGGCCCTTTCAAAGGTCCTAAAGCACACCTCAAGCTTACTCCCGAAGCAAAACCATTTCAGAACCGTCCATATTCTGTCCCCAAGAGTCATGAAGCTTTCTTCAAGAAAACTATAGATGAAATGGTCCAATGGGGTATTTGGAGAAATGCGGTCCAATGGACTACTTATCTCCCACCTTTATTGTTCCGAAAAAGGATGGTAGAGTTCAATTTGTTTCCGACTTTCGGCAAATAAACAAGATGATTAAACGCAAGGTTTGGCTACTGTCAAGAATACAAGATATTCTAAAGAAACAAAATGGCTACAAGTATTTCACAAAGCTTGACCTTTTGATGTTTCTCTACACATTTGAAATGGACGAAGCGTCGAAGGACCTTTGTGGCATTGTCACACCCTTCGGCAACTATCGTTACACGCGTCTTCCTATGGGCGTCAAACAATCTCCTGACATTGCTCAAGCACACATTGAACAGCTCCTTGCTGAGTTCAAAGAAGCAGACGTCTACATTGACAATGTTGGAATCTTTTCCAACGATTGGAACTTGCACATGGACAGCCTCAGAAAAATCTTGCGAATCTTGCAAGATCATGGTTTTACCTGCAATCCGCTGAAATGTGAATTTTGTGTGCAAGAAACTGATTGGCTTGGTTATTGGCTCATGCCTACTGGAATCAAACCGTGGAAAAAGAAGATTGACACGATCCTCAGACTCTATCAACTGGGTGCCGCGACTATCAACTGGGTGCCGCTATTTTTCAGAACGGCAAACCTGTTGCCTATTACTCTCGTAAGCTTTCTAAAGCACAGTTGAACTACACTGTTGGAGAAAAAGAAATTCTCTCCATTGTGGAAACTCTCAAAGAGTATCGTACCATGCTGTATGGTGTCAAGGAACTACATGTCTACACTGACCACAAAAATCTGACCTTCCAGAATCTCCAAAGCCAACGCGTCCTACGCTGGCGCCTCTTCCTCGAAGATTTCCATCCAATTTTCCATTACATTAAAGGAGAACACAACACTCTCGCCGATGCCCTTTCTCGCCTAACTATGACACCGCCTCGGTGGCAGAATGACAACCCTAAGGATCCCATTGACTTATATCGTCGACCGATTGGAGCCTACCAAGAGTATGCCCCTCTCATTGAAACAACATCCAATGTTGACCTATCATCAAATGATAACAGAACCACAGCATCCAATGCTAACATATCATCCCATGATACTCTAAATTCATTTTATTCTATGGCCACTGATTCGCAATTACTCAATTGCTTTGTTCACCTGCCCGTTCAGGATAGCTTACCTTTTGTTCTTGATTTCAAGTCTATCGCTGATGCTCAAACTCAGGACGCTGAGCTTACCAAGCTGACGCAAACCAAACCTCAACAGTATGTCCAACATACCTTTGCACAAGACACCCAGGTGTATTGTTATGTGAGAGATGCCAATTCTCCATTGAAGATCTATCTCCCAACACAATTATTACAACCCACCATCCAATGGTATCACGCTGCTCTCAGCCACCCGGGCTCCACGCGCCTCAAGGATACCATGCGCATCCATTTTCACAATCCAAAGTTATCTAATGTTATCGAAGACTTTACCTCAAAATGCGACACATGTCAACGACACAAGGCTGTCGGTAGAGGCCACGGCCACACTGCTCCCAAGGAAGCTCCACTCATCCCCTGGCAACAACTCGCAGTTGATCTCATCGGTCCTTGGACACTCATGGTGGCAGGACAAGAGATCGAGTTCAGAGCCTTGACAATCATTGACCTAGTAACCAACTTGGTCGAAATTGTGTGCATTAAGGACAAAACGTGCGCGAACGTAACGCTTCAGTTTGAAAAAAACGCTTGGCTCGCCCGTTACCTGCGCCCTGCAACCGTCATCCATGAAAAAGGAACCGAATTCACGGGATTCGACTTTCAAAATCATTTGAATCTACACAGAATTGAACCTCGTTCTATCTCTGCCAAGAATCCTCAAGCAAATGCAGTTTGCGAACGGATGCATCAAACTATCGGCAACTCTCTTAGAGTATTGGTTACACTAAACCACCCTTTCAACATCAATGATGCCGAACAATTAGTTGACACTGCCATTGCAAATGCAGTGTATGCACACCGCTGCTCTTATCACGGAACTATAACCGCTACGCCCGGATCACTTGCCTTCCACCGTGACATGATCCTAGATCTTCCAATGCAAGCTGACCTTCAGCTCATTCAACAACATCGACAACAGCTCATTGACAAAGAATTGATACGAGCCAATTGTCGCCGATTTGCTTATGATTAACAGCCCGGCCAGGAAGTTCTAAAGCTTCGCTATAAGCCAAACAAGCTCGACCCTTGAGCCGATGGACCATATTGTATTGAACAAGTCCACTCTAATGGTACCCTTACCATTTGACTTGCTCCTCATGTAATTGAACGCGTCTCCTTACAACGAGTCAAACCTTACCGACGATGAAGTGGTTTCATCCTACTTGCAAGGTTCCCTTCTATCTCCCGCGTCGGGTCCTCTGGAATCTAGAGGATAACCTTGGGTGGCAGAATGTCGTGGCTCACATTAGTCCACTAGTCCAACTAGTCGAATCATATCAGTCGAATGAACATCGATTACTCTGATATGAGTACTTCTACAAACGCCCCCTTACTCAGCATGCCCACAGTAGTTTTGTCAAAAGCAATCTTGCCAAATGTCTAGTACATCTATTACCTATGCTACGAGCCGACAGTGATGTGGCAATGAGGTGGCAACAGTCTGACGAATACATCTTATCAAGACTGCAGTAGAAGTTGTGTGTCTCCAGTACACACCTTCTCTTCTGATGTCAGTATGGCTAT